TGATTTGTCTGTCATATATATATATATATATATATATATATATATATATAAAAAGATGGAGTCACACATAAGCAAAAATAAAATCAGATTTGGGCCACTGTGATATACTATGATAGCCTATGTTATCTGAAAGCTTTCAGAAGTTGAAGCAAAGAAAAAAGAAAGATTGTAATGATGGAATTCAAAGATATAGTCACATTTCCCTCTCAGATTATTTTCTTATCTCTTTTGTAATAAAACTTTCTTTACAGTTTTGTTGGTCATTGTGTCTTCTTGTCCCGATGGGGAGTTTGCCTGTACATCTGGAGAATGTCTTCCTGCTGGACACTTCTGTGATTTTAAGATGGACTGTAAAAATGGCTCAGATGAGGAGTTTTATGGTATGCTGGCAGTTCAGGAAAGCATTTTCAAAGTTTAATTTATTTGAATTTAATTTGAATTTAACATCAGACACTTCAACACATCAAATTAGCATTTAGAATGCAGTATTTATAAAGGTATATGTATTTTAGATATACAATGCAAATAGTTTAAAAAACATAAATAACACAACACTGGGTACAAAAATTTATTCAGGTTGTTTCACAAAATCTGAATCTTAATACCGACTGACTAAATTTCCTTCCACGTTAAGGGTCATGTGGCTTCGAGCATCACTCTTGTGGTTGGAATGACACCAGTAATGGCTCCTACCGCTGGAGACGGCAGACAGCAAATATCACCTCAATACCTGGACTGGATCATACCACAGGAAGTCCACTGGGTAAATATTAACCTGTCATGTTCCATTTGTGTTATTACTTTGTTGATAATTAATTCAAAATGGATACAGTGGCACTTTAAATCTGTAATAAAAATATTTTATTAGATTATGACATCTAGCCTGTGATGGTAATTTTATAATGGGTATATGTGTGCTGGATACAGGGCATGTCATGCATATAGATGGCAAACAAGGTGGTGGTTCTCGTACGGCTAAATTGGAGTATTCTGTTGAAAAGTTGGCAGCTCTGGGATGTCAGTTCAGGTACTAAAACAATGGGTTTTCTTTTTAAAGATATGAATTTTACAATTAGTTCTTGACTGATCACTTCACTTGAATTAGTCATATACTGTACCCTGTGCTGTTTTTGTGATTAGACTTTTAATGTGTTCCAGCTTCTGGTACCATATTTATCACAACAAGACATCATCATCATCAACCCTTAAATTAACAATGGTCAGAGGCACCACTGAGAAAGAATTGTTGGAGATACGTAAAAGTAAAACAGACGGTTGGGAAAATGCCACAGCCTTCATCGGTAATCAGCCAGCAGGATACAAGGTTAGTGAAATAACCTGTTTACTTTTATGCTTTACACAGACATAGTAATCTAAAATGATTTAATTTTGATTAAGAGCTGAGTTTTTAAAC